GTTCCGCCGCGAGAGAGGGCTCCTATCAGGCGTGCGGCGCCGCCCACAGAGCATCCTCCATTACTTTTAATCTCCTTGGTCTGAACGCATTATGAGGGATAAGAGATTTGTTGGTACATTTAGTCGGTCGGCCGCCGCCGTTATCCTAGAAGTAGAACGACTGTTTCTCATCCGAGTATTTTGTTTGAACGTGCAGTTAGTCGGACCTGTTAGTAAAATTGTTTCAATCGCGCATACGCATCACGTGACATGACACCGCCGTGAGTTCTGCGCGTCGGGGACCGTTCGTTGACGGGGTCAACCTAAGTTCATGTATTTCGGGACTTATTGGTTTGGGGGGGGTAGAGACTTTTGGACTTGGAGTGCTTAACGTGATGCTTCAGGATTTACCAAAAATAATGATAACACGCACGCAAAGACACACAGAGAGCATATAAGCCGAGTAATTTAAAGACACCCATGGAAAATTTTTAAGTCAGTTTTGGCAGTCACCTTGGTGATTTGCTGTTGATCCCGATTTTTTTTTCACCAAATCCCGATTTTTCTCTCCCTGGAGATCCTAATTTTGAGGCTTCATAGAGTGGCATGTCTGGTAACTGTATTGTGAAGGTACAGCCTACATATATCTATTCATTATTCCCAGGTTTGCCTTCTATCAGTATCAAAGGTGCGATGACAAATTAATTGAATTATAGTAGCAATGGAAGGGGAACCTGCTTTTAAACATTGCCAGCAATGGAAAGATATATTGGTGAAGAAATTAAACAAGACGAAATATTGGTGAAAAAATAAGTAGTATGGGTTGTTGGCAATCTCTTCAAACAGGCTCCCAAATGCCATTTTCAACCCTCTAAAAGTACTAAATTTCAATTTCTTCGGGGGCTCCTGAACCCCCACCGGGACTCTGTCCCTGGACCCAGCAGAATTTTCCTTTCTTTTCAGCTTCAGCTGGTGGAAGCACTGCAGATGGATAAAGTTGCAAAATTACAGCTTCATATTATACACACAGATACCATCTTTTGGAGTATCTGCACCAATGTTATGTCATTCATGTTCCAAAAGTTTGACACATTTTGTCATGCCATTCTTTTTATATTGATTTTTTAATTTCACACTTGTCCAAAAAAATTTACAATGTCAGTTCCTTTTTGAGTCTCAAGAGCAGAAATGCGTGCATTGGGTGCACTTATCATAAGTACAAGGATAAACCTAAAACGGTACATAGAAAAGTATGAAAAATTAAATCAGCCCAAACAGAGCGGCAACAGGGAGCTTATCCCCGTGACCCCGACGTGATAAGGCGCTCGACGGGGAACCCCCGCTGCAACTAAAATTCCACTGCCGGTGCGCCGTGCAAGTGTTTCATCTCACGAGATGAAAGAAAACGAAGCACGCTTACGGAATTAAAGTCGGGATATGGGATATGGAAAATTGGATGGGAAACAAGAGGTGTGAGATGGGACACAGAAGGTGAGATTCGGAAGATGAGACTGGTCATTTATGTTTACAATAATGAAATGACAGTATTGCAGCGGGTCAGCCTATGAACCGACGCAGAGAGAAAATGACAGAAATCAATAATTGTTATCATATAATAAACACTTTCTCTTTCTTTCTCTCTCTCTCTCTCTCTCTCTCTCTCTCTCTCTCTCTCTCTCTCTCTCTCACTCTCTTGCTCTCTCTCTCTCTCTCTCTCTGTTTCTGTCTCTGTCTTTCTCTCTCTCTCTCACTGCCCGCAGATAAAATTCCACACTTTCACCTCAAGGGCACTGGAACATTTGTTTATTACACTCGTATCATGGGCCATCATGCGCTAATACAAGGTGGTGCCAAAGTCTCGCCCAGACGCGAGATTAGATTGGGCAAGTTAAACATCTTGCTTGTGGAGAATCTTTGCTAGAACCATTGCAAATCAATTGTTTTAAAGAAAATCTCAAAAGTAATAGCAAAACATCAAATTTTGGTAAACTTTTACATTTAGACTCGTACACAGATGAACTGTTTTGAGGACTAATCTGCCATATATTTTTGCTTCAGAACACACATCTGGCCACTAAAGCTATTGCAAATCAATTGTTTTCTAGTAATTATCAATCCTAATTGCCAAAACACCCAAATCATGGAAAAATGGTGGGGGGCTGTGCATTCAGAAGCTAGATCTTTTACTCATGTCATTTTGGCTCATTCGTATTGAAGACAGACATAGACTTTGGAGAACCGCCTCTTAAATAAAGTAATAGTGTTGATAAGTGCTTTTAACTTACACTTAATTTACCTAACAGAAAGTGAGACAGGCTTACCATAACAACCTCTCTTGGTGAAGCCCCTGAAGAGAAAGGGTGTAGAAGTGTTGATGCTGGTGTCGAAGGCCCTTTTCATGTTATGCCTTTATCTTTGGCAGCTATTCTGAGACTTCAGAGGGTTCATGGAAACAAGTAAACTGATCCCTTAAATAATATAGAATATAGAAATCCAGTGTATTTCAAGCAGCTCTAGCGCAGCTCTAATCATAACGTGTGTTTGCAACTGTTTGCATTATATTGCATATGTGGTGAGTGTTGTTTTATTAAATGATTTAGAAATTTTTCATGCTAGGACATATTTATCACAATATAAATAAATAGCTTTTATTGGTACAGTCAAACCTCATTCGCTTTCCTTTGGACGAGCACAAAGTTGGCGGTATAGAGGGGCTGGCTGTGTAACAGGATACCACGAATTGCAATCTTGACAAGTGGTAGACTGGTAGAGACTAGAGACAAACCATGGCCAGTCGTTCCTCGTCTAGATCTGTCTTGAACGATTGTCATGTGCAGAGAAAAAATAAGTAGTAACTAATGACATGTATAGCTCCAGCTAAACTATAAGTAATTTCAAAAGGAAAGAAGATAGGGTCAGAAGCTAGGCTGTATGTGTCAGTGACCCTGTACACGTACGAGTTTTATTTTTTACCCGATATTCGTAAGTTTTTACCCCACCTTAGACCTATCATATTTGAGCATGCATCCTCACAATATAAAAGCTTGACAGACAACTGACAACCTTTTAGTCATTGGGTTGATACCTGGCGAGGCCAGATATTTTGCTCTCAGGCGAGTTCGTGCAATTCCTTTGATATTTCTGCGGGCTACTTTAAAATTTCTTTCCTATTAAAAAAAAATATTGGCCAAAGCCTTAAAAAAATAGCATAACATAATTAGCGCTGATCAGGAGAAGATCGGCAAACACTCAGAAATAGGCTGAGCTTTCAGAGGCATGTATGGGAAAGAGATGATCAATAAATAGTCTGTGTGGATGCAGTGTTCCTTTTGTAGTGTGTAACCCTGGCGGCCAATTTGTTTGCGGTACATCGAATTTACATTAGTTTAATAAGGATTACTCAGTTGATGGTGGTGTAAAATCGCAAATATTATATTTTTAAAGGCGTTCCTTTTCATACATTGGCAAAACCTGGCGGTATAATAATGGGGGCAGTACAACAAGGTTTGACTGTATTTTGATATTATTGTGTTAATAGAAGGTTTCAAGTATTTAAGATTGATTTGCTTTCAAACTTTTTTATCTCTCTGTAAAATAGTTTTAGCACTGTAAAATAAAATGGAAAGGAACAGCAGGAGGTGGACAAAGGAAGACCTGGAAAATACATTTGAGGAATTCCTAAAAACGGTGAGTTTCATAAGTGATTAGCTATTTCGAAAGTTAGTTTTCAATTATATTATTATTATATATTCTACTTTTTAAGATTTCAGAAAAAGACCATCAATCGTTTTTAGATGTTGTAGTGAATGTAAAGGGTTATTGTTGAAAAAAGTGGTAATTTCTTTTATATAATATTTGTTATCTCAAGCAAAGGTGAACAAATCAAACAAGCTTAACTGTTTAAATATCTAGGCTTTTTAGTTACATATATATGATGCCAAATGTACAGAAATAAAAATAAGAATTGCAATGGCTTCTGACAGTGTCAGTAAAATGAGCCCAATCCTGAAAAACAGAAACTTCTCAATAACTATCAAATCAAAGTTCTGAAATGCGGTGTATGGTCAACCCTTCTTCGGCTGATATTGCTGGACAGGTGACTGTGAAGACTGTAAAGACTGAAAATAGAATAGAAGAAGCCTGTAAAGACTGTAAAAATAAAATAGAAGAAGCAACAGAAATGTGGTTTCTTCAGAGACTGATGAAAATTTCGTAGGAGGAAAGGAAAAGAAATCAAATGAGGTAGTTTTTAAATAAAACCCACGTCAGCTGCTCACTTATAAAAACAATAAGGATAAAACAAGTACAGTTCTGGGACATTTTAATAGACTACAGGCCTTGAACATTTGGCTCTCACTGGCAAAATTGAAGGCAAATCAGGCAGGGGTGGACCCAGAGCAACCTACTTGGAAAGCCTAAACAGGTGGGTTTCGGGAAAGATCAGAATAATGTAGGTTTTTTGAGAGTATGCGTGCAAAGGAATGAATGGAGAACAACGTGCTTGCCCATGTCTGTCGTAGATCTGGCACTTGATGATGGTGATGATGATGATTCTACTTCCCTTAGTTTTTCTCCTACTTATTCTCAAATGCAATTGATAAAGTTTATTATTTTTAGTTGGGACAACGGGCTCCTTCAGGAATATTAAATTTGCCCAAGACAAATCTCAGCAAGCTGCATTGCAACACAAGGTAAATCTTTGAGATATTTATTGAATATTGTGGTAATTGCGTATAAATAGTATCATATTTTGTGTGCCCATTCAAATTATATTATGGATAATTATATTTGAAACAGGTTTTTGTATCATATCTGTTTTTAAAATTGCATGGCTTCTTAGGTCTATGCTTTAAAAAAGAAATCTTTAACTTGTGGCCTTTGTGGATGATTTCAGTTACATTCTTTTTATTCCAGTCTCTATCGTCGGAAGAAGACACTGACAAGATCAAAAAGCTACTTGAGCAGCCGGTTAAGAAAAAAAGCTCTGGACAGTCCTCTTTGTGGTGGGCAAACGACTCAGATGATGAAAGTTTAAAAAAAGGTTGTTGGAAAATTTGTTATCTTGTTAATTTAGTTTAGAAAGGGATTGTGGTATCAACTTGTATGAACTTTGGTTCATACTGTACTATACAGAGAAGATTGAGCGTGAGTGTTTGGGTAGACATTTTGAAAGAATGGTTTTGAAACTAGAGATCCTGAAGTGTACTTAGCTTGGATTGTTTTTCAAAATCTGTCTTTTCTTATTTGGAAATTCATTTAGAGTTCCCATTGAGTACATTATCTGTGTGTGCTTTGTGTTTGATCCATGATGGAAAATATCTTTATTTCTGGAAATTTATTCTGTTTTGATTTCTTAGGAAACCCAGAAAAGTTCATAATCTACATTTTGTCAAGAACTGTTTTTCTTTAACTTTTCAATGTGATTTCTCTGTGGTTGCAGTTCAGACAAACAGGGCATTATGCAAGTGGCACTGTCTTAATTCATTTGTTTGTACATCAGGTTAAACTTCAAAATGACCTCAGGTTTCTTTTTTATCTCACTTTTGTAAGTCCTTGAAGATTGACTATTCTCAAACTGGAGTATTTCCTTACAATTTTTTGTTGTGTCTTGATACAGGTACAGGAAAGAGTTTCCTGAAAACCAAAGAGTCATCAGAGCCACCAGTGAGGTCAAAGTCCATCCTAGAGAGTGATGTTAGAGGAAAAGGAAAGTCTGTGTCAAAGCCATCTTTGTCGAAACAAACGACCTCTCCAAAACGAGTACCGCGTAAAGACAGGCCAAAGTCGAAAAGAGAGGTACACTGTATTGTCTGAATGTTTTAACATCTTCATTCAAAGGTATTCTTAATGTTTTTATATGTTCAGTTTTGGTTGAATTTAGACTATAGGATGCTTAACCTAGACGGTTGGCACCGGCTTTGAAGGCCGGCCAGGTTCTCAGTGAGATGAACGAAGATCAGTGCAAAAAGCGGCGACAGACAAATGGGCTCAAATGGGTGATGGAGCATGACAATGAACCTTACTCAACCCTTTCTTCAGTGACATATTTCACTCCTTATTTTGTTCTCTGGTGGGTTGGGGGATTATAAATAGACCCACTGTCCCGTCGGCAGGAGGTGAAACCCCCCCCCCCCAATTAAATGATGAAGTGTCGCACATGGACCCCAACCCTCTGAGATCCATGTGCGACATCTTCTTTAGTGTATTTTGCTCTTTTCCTTCCTTCTTCTTTTTCTTCTTCTTCTTCTATCTCTTCTTCATCAAGATAAGAGGTATATGCACAACCTGTACTTTTTCATTATATTATGGAAACTTTATTTCACAAATGAGTGTTTTGTATGATAAGACTGGGCCAATGGCCTTCAACACATGATTATACTAACTTACTTACTATCTCTTCTTCCACCGTTAACCTCATGTTCCATAAGCTGGAGGTTGTCCCTCCCACAGACTGGGCCCCTCGTTGACTGTGAGGTGCAACCTGTGCGGAGGGAAACCGGGTTCTGGGGGTTGAGGTGAGATCAGTTTGTAGAGTGTCCCTCTTTAACACACCTCTTTGGCCCAGGTCTTCTTAGATGTGAGGGTGGCATGGCCCATGCAACTCAATGGGTTGGGAGCTACAGAGATGCCAACCAGTACGATTTTACGTATTTTAGTACGATTTTTGGCCGAAAATACGCGAATACGACTTTTCATGAAAAAATACGCATCCTGGAATGCGAAAACTACGAGATTCAGCTTGGGCGAGTAAACTTAATTATCTCAGGTCCCATCTTTTGTCAAAATAGTATCAGTATCGCAGAACTGGAATATTCGAAAACCAAGTCCGATGTGGTCAGTAAGTTCATTTTTGCCGGTCGCGATCGTGATATTATATTCGTTCATCTTTTCCCCGTCTGGAGAGTACGTTCCACTTTCACGCGAAAAGGCAGCTATGGCGGCAGGCGGAAGCGTATGCGACACCGAGGCTCGATCGGGAAAATCAAGATCTACTTTTGCTTTCGTTACCGCCGAGAAGTTTGCCAGCTGTTGTCTGATAACGCAACATTTGTGGCATGCAGGTTGTGCAGTATAAACACAATGTTGCCGTTCAAATAAAATGTAATAAATACTCTGACTCGTCGCTGTGCTGTCACTTGTGGGAAAAAAAAAAGAAAAGAAAATACAAGCGTCGTCCGATTTTTAGATTGTCTGGCTCGCCATCGTGACCGGTCACTGACCCTGTGCACATTCGCGTCATAAATAAATGCGGCATTGTAGTGAGTAAACACCGTCTTTGGTGGGGCGTTGCGAAGTATAGGACTACGGAATAGGGGAGGAGATTATTGATTTTTTTTGGGTTTAAGATACTATCGGGGGTTGAAGGCAACACCAGAGGACAAAAACTTGGAAGCACTTTTCAGAATTTTGATCAGAGCTTTCTGCAAAGCGCGCGTTGGTGCAGGCCGTGTGAGGAATCGGGACCCCTCATACTTTGCAAGTCTGTGTTATTGAAATAAAGTGTTCGCGTTTCATTGGATGGGTGATAGTAAAGTATACCTACTTGGATTGGTGATAGTAAATTATACCTCTACAGTGTATGTTGTAGCTTTCTGTTCAATACTGGCCGATTTTCAGTGTCACTGCATCTTGCCCTACCACAGTTGTTACAATTCTCACAGTGCATGGGTCTACTTGAGCCATTCAAGTTATTGCTTTTCTCTGAGTTTGAGCAATAATTTGAGTCTGTCAGTTCATAATATGAATCATGACACCCAGACTGGTTCTTGATAGTCGAAATTCTTGTTCTAAGCCCTTCCGAACTCTCAAAGCAGGATTTATTTTTTATATAATAATGAGAGGAAAATATTATATAATAATAGACTGAAATACTTAAGTCGAACAAAACCCCAGTACAACACTGAACACTAACATGTTGTTGACTGGATACATGTATATTGTATGCGTGTGTGCTCCCTTTTTCGAGCTGGTGAGCTAGTAATTTTTTTTGCTGGACACCCTGAACATTTTACTATTTCTGGTTGGTCGACCATCAATGATTTATTTATTGAAGAACCAGCCATCCATGTCCAGGTGCTGTTTTAGCCTACTCGTTGGTTGGTCGGTCGTGGGGAATACACTTTTTCACCTGAAAATACACATTTTCATATTTCCAAATACTCATTTCGGTTTTCTGTGGTTGGCCTCTCTGGAGCTAAAACCCCCTCAGTTCCTGGGTCAATCTTGACGGGAGGTTCAAGTACGTTCTCGAGAGTATAACTTTGGGGTAGCCCTGGCACAGCTCTGGCTATCCGAGCAGTGTGTCCCCTTGTTGGGCTTGGTGGCAGATGGGGAGCCCTGGGGTTGAGTCAATAACTAAATTCTCATGGATTCAAAACTCTTTCAAGACCCTTCCAAAAAAGTCTCGGCTCGCGGAAGCGGGTGCGGCCGCTGAGCCGAGCAAATGGCTGCCTCTGCCCTCCCTTCTCCCAGGGAGCTTCTGTGGCAGCATCATTTTTCCTTTCCTGTTTGAAAAAAAATAAATTCCATTGTTCAGACCCTCCAAAATAACATAGACAGCTCTTTATACATTGAAGACATCCTGATATACTGCCATTCCGAAAATCCTTAACTAAGATCTATCGAAAGTCAGCTGCAAACGCAGCTGTATAAACTTGAAAAGTGGGCAAATGAAAATGGTTTAAAGTTTACCATGTCAAAGACGGCTGCAGTACACTTCTGCGGATCAGGCAGACATGAATTGACACTTAAAGAGGAATGGATTCGTGTCCAGGACCAGGCTTGTTTCCTCGGAATTATATAAAAACTTACATTCATTCTACACATAAAAGACCTTTGTGTGGGGTGCCAGGAAGCCTTAAACACTTTAAAAATTAAATCTCATTCAGAGTGGAGCAGAAACTCGAAATACCTTCTCCTCCTTTACTGCTCCCTTGTCTGATCCAGGCTTGACTATGGCTTCCTGGTCTATGGATCAAGGACTCCGCCTTGCCCTGGGGGCTTTCTGCACTTCTCTAGTGAAAAGCCCCCAGGCGGACGCAAACATTCTATCCCTGACATTCACACCAACACAACTCTCACTACAGTACACTATCAAACAAGAGTTCAATACCAGAAAATCCAGCACTCGACTGCATTTTTAGAGCACAACCAGACAATAAACAAATTCAAAAACAACGACAAACTCATCAAGCCTTTTGGCCTCAGAGTCCTTGAAGACCTCAAAATCTTAAATTTTTCCAAAAAGACATTGAAAATTTTCTTTCCCCCGGCTTCCCTCCGTTTCATCTCACCAAGGCAAAAAAAGATTTAGAACTCACCACACGGATGGAACCACAGCTGAAACACTGGTAGACATCGCAAATACAATAGCTACATCTCTCTCCAAAAACTCATCTAAAGCAAACTACAACACCACCTTCCAAAACATTTAAACTAACAGAACAACAACTCCTAATTTCCACTCAAACAACACAGAAACCTACAACTCGGACTTCACATTAGACGAACTAACATCATGCATCTTAGAACTGGGCAATACAGCTCTTCTAAGATCTATGGAAAGGCAGCTGCAAGCGCAGCTGTACAAACTTGAAAAGTGGACAAATAATAATGGTTTCAAGTTTTCCCCGTCTAAGACGGTTGTAGTGCACTTCTACCGATCAGGCAGACGTGTATTGCAGCCAGATTTGACGCTATTCGGGGAAGGATTCCCGTCCAGGACCAGGCTCGTTAAATTTGACAGGAAACTCACATTCATTCTGCACATAAAACACCTTCGTGTGAGGTGCCAAAAAGCTTGAAACGCTTTGAAAATTTTATCGCACCCGGAGTTGGGCGGGGACTCAAAACATGTTTTACACCTATACATTTCACTCGTCCGATCCAGGCTTGACTACGGCTGTCAGGTCTAGGGATAAGCAAAACCTGACGTCCTAAAAATGCTAGACCCAGTACAAAACCAAGGACTGTGCATCGCTCTGGGGGTTTTCCGCACTTCTCCAGTGGAGAGCCTCCAAGCCGAGACAAACATACCATCACTCACACTTAGATGCACATAACTCTCACTATAATATGCAACTGAACAAAGCTCAACACCAGAGAACCCAGCACGCGACTGTATTTTCAGAACAAACCCAGACACCATAAACAAATTCAAAAACAATGAAATACTCATCCAACCCTCGGCCTCAGAATCCTTGAGGACCTCAAAAACATACACTTTTCCAAACAAGACATCCAACAATTTCTCTTTCCCTAACTCCCTTCGTGGCACCTCACCAAGGCAAAAGTTGACTTACAGTACAGTTGACCACACACACTAAAGCAAGCACAAACACCAAAACATTTAAGGCAGGATACCAAAAACTTAAAGAAAAATACATGTAAAAACCGCTATTTTGATTTTAAGCAGATTATCATAATTTTTAAACTGTTATTTTACCTCTAGTTTTTAAAAATTTAAAATCTGATCGTTGACCCGAGACCAGCCTTGCTGGTCAACAACCAACTGTTGTGAATGCAACCAACCTGTGTTACGCATGCTCATATGACCTTTTGCAGTTGCGAGCCCCATCAAACTCTTATTAAAACAAAAAAAAAAGATATTAACTGAATCCAGTCAGCTGTTGATAAAGAAAGCAATCTAATAAAGTTACTATTTGCACATTGTGACTACTTTGCAGTTTTTCTCCTTATCTCTGTCTTTTGCTCTTTGGGGTGGTGTTGAGAAAATCTCTACATCTTAGATATTAGCCAACAGTATCAGTGCACTCTTTGTAATGGTGATGTCATTCTGAAAAATGCAAGGAAATTCCCACAAAATCGCCACTAGTCTGTGTCTGCACTAATTTTCAGAGGCTTATAAAAAAAGAAAAGAAAAAAAACCAGGTTGACCAACAATGACAATGTAAAGTCATGGAAGACAAGAGTCTGAAGATGATCAAAGCTAGGGCACTGTCTAACCTTTAACTTTGTATGAGTGTGGTAAACAACAGTAAAATGCATAGAGACAAAAAAAAAGGACCACCTTGTGCTCCGCTGAGCAATACAAATGTTTTGTTATCATTGGTATAAAGTATAAGATGAAAGATTGCCAGTGGTTGTCTGCTTCAATTTCGTGTTTGATGAAAGAGCTCGAATTTGAAAGCAGCCCTTTTTTAAAAATTGAAAATGTTCATTTCATCAATATCAACAGCTTTAGAAAAAGAAGCTGAACGTTTTGCAGCTCTCTCGTCTTTGCAGCTGTGGTGCCACAACATATGATGCTACCGGTCCTGCATCTGGAAATATATATATAAAATAATATAATAAATCATTGACAGAGGCTATGAGCCTTGGAGGGCACTATAAAACGTCCTGCCTGTGTTAAATATAATACATCAGGTGGGAAATGCATGAGAACAAACTGCCGTATCAGTGACATTTTTTGCTGCAGTAATTACTTGTAAGTACATACTGCATGCAGATTGATTTGTTTGTGATACCTTTGTCACACTGCGATTTTTTTTTTCTAAATCCTTTGAGAATACATGGTAAAAGAGGAGAGATGTACCGCGATAGGTGTTTGATAGGAAGGAAGGTGTAAACCACACCAGAGCACCCACAAACCGCCTAGTTTGGAAATCTACTATATTTTTATTTTGCTGTCTCCTTTTTGGCTGGCCACTTTTTCAGCCCCACATAAATGCTTTTTCCCCCCATGTAGCTGTTTCATTCATTGGGCGTTGGACTGAAACTAGAAATACGTGTATTCCAGCTGAAAACTTTTTCAAGGTCAAGATGAAATAAAATCTAGAATCTTGAACACATACAATGCATAAACACAAATGTAATCCTTAGAGCTGAGAGACGTATAGAAACAATAAATCCAAACAAAAATAAGTACATGTACGTCCAAGACAATGATAACAATGAAGAGACTGGGAGACTGACCACTATAGACTAGACTATTATAATTAATACAAAAAATACACACTATACACTAGGTTCTATGAATACACAGAGCGAGAAGGCTACAGCATCCATTTTGTGTTTTGTTTATCGCCGCTTTTCGTATCGATCCCTGTTTACCTCATCCAGACTCACTTTCAAAGCTGGAGCCTATCATCTGGGTTATGCAGCCTTTAGTAAGCTAGCATAGGTTGGAATTTTTAAAAAATTTGCACGAGTGGCGGCTGAAGCTTACGCTTATCAATTTTAGGACCATCAAGGGATCTTGAACGGGCTCAACTTGTACCTCATTCCCTTTATTATTTATTTTCTTTCTTACCCATAATTCAGAAAAAATCTTAGTCAAAAAGTGCTGCGTTTTTTAAAGTCAGTCCGCAAGACAAGACATATGTTTATCAATCACTTGCAAAATTAGCATGTATACTAATACATGCATGTACATGTGTACTAAAAAATATTTTACATGTACCTATATGATTGGTTAAATCTTCATACAGAAGAATTAAAGCCAGATGATTAGTGGGATGTACTTGTAACATCATAAAGACAACTAGGAACTTTGCCAACTTCTGTGGTGTCCATGGTACAGTACAAGGGTGATACTTCCGATACGCCACAAAGCAACGAAGGGGTTGACCTTCTATGGGTTACCCCTTAATTGAAACTGTGGTTCATTACAAAATGTGTCTCTTTACATCTGTAGATACCATAGTCCCACTTGTAATGTTGCTATTGGTCATTATTTTTATGTTTTGAGGTTCTTTTGTTTATGCTTTTGGAGTGAAAAGGATGTTTTTTTCTGATCCTGTGTTGTTAGCAGTGTTTTATGTTTAACCAGCCAAGAGTAGTGTGCAAAGAACTTTGTCCAGGTGTGCATGTATCATCAGTTGGGTTCCAAGTTGGTGGAAAGTCAGAACCTGTCTGAGGAGGATATAATTCTTACTTTGTGTGTATGTCTTGAAAAAAAAAGGTGTCGTTCAAGCTAGAATCTAAGATTGTTGCATTGTGTTTTACAGACTTCTCCTGGAAAAACGAGAGGTTCCAAGTCCAAGATTGACACATCCATGAGCAAAGACAGCCTAGAAGACAGTAAGTGTTCTGTTGTGGGAGATATGGCTGCTTTCTTATCCGTTTACTTCATCTTCTACCCTTCTATTTCCTTTAGAATTGGAGTATCTCTGGCATTGTAGCACCAATATTTTGCTGAAGTGTCTCATATTTTTCAGTTCAACCCAATTTGCATGGTCAACTTAATTTAGCATGTGTAACATCACTTAAGAACAAAGTGTGTAAAAAAAAACAACAACATTTAAGTTTAGAGCCTGTATAGACCTTTGGCATTTTCTTTTGTTAGGGATCAGTAAGTTATTTTTGTATTTGAACTAAATGTTCATATGATGACGTAGCAATGTAGACAAATTTATAGATCGTAGAATTTTCTAGGTTTTGATAGGTTAGGAAGTTTTCCTGTCAGTGCTCTTGAAAATAGATCTACAACTTAAGATCTGTTCCTTTTGGTGAATATGGTCTTTTCTTTTGTTCATAACATGCTGTGAGTCCAAATGAGATTTAGAAAAAAGTGAGCCTATATTTTAAAGTTCCGTCAAAGAGAAATGCAGCGACTCCTACATTTTGAAAACTTTTCATCAATTAACCTCTTGACTATTCACTACAAGTATTCATGTGTGAATTTTGTTCTCACTAAACAACTTTTTTGCATTGCTTTGAACACTTTCAACCAAATGTCTTTGTCTTTTTTAATTATGCGGCTCAGGATATCTCCTTTGTGTTTCTGACCTATCATGTTTTGAATAATTGTCTCTTCTAGTTCATTAAAAAAAAGCATGTTGTTCAACTTGCCTCTTTTTGAGGAAACTATGTCTCTCTGGGATGAAGATCTATGAAGAGTTTACAATGTATTTAACTTTTATTCCCTAAAATCTCATGATAAGACCATGTTCTTGTATTTTTTAATGCTCTCTTTTATTTTCAAAATCGGGAAAATAGTAGCTTCTTTCTGTTAGCAATTAAGGCTTTATCAGTTGCTGAACAAATGCCATTAATCTATTTGTATCTATCGGTTGATTTGTAAGACTTAAAGACCTCCAGGGACATCACTGAACCTAGACTGTTCAGACATTTTGAAATTTATTTTTTCTTATTGTACCATTTAGGAATACTTGTTCTGAACTCTCAGTTGTATATCATGTTTAAAGAGACATACTCAGAGACGTCCGTTATGATTTTAGTGAGCTACAGTTTCCATTTTCATTGCATTGAATTATATAAGAAAAGAGCATGCAGGACATGTTTTCTGATATTCTTAAATAAAGCAAGGAAGGGTACACTTTTTTATTCCTCTTATAGACACAGCTGTCACAGGTATGACACATTTCATGTTGAAAGTTACTGCATGTTCTGTCAAAATCCGAGGCTTCAAATTCTAGAAATATTACATGTGTTTTTATGCCTAGTCATAAATTTTATTCACATAGGAAAAATATTAGTATAAAAAATCCCTTTCTACATTAGCTGTATTGTATTTTTGTATTGCTAGCATGCTGTATGTTGAGTCGTATCATTTGAATGCGCGCACTCTCTCTCTCTCTCTCTCTCTCTCTCTCTCTCTCTCACACACACACACACACACACACACACACACACACACACACACACACACACACACAGCACACAGCACACACACACACACACACACACACACACACACACACACATGCAGATGCACTCACATACAGGCCTACACTCAAATGCATTCACACACACAGTACACATATATATATACAAACAAATACCCACATTCACACATACGTACATAGTATAATATAATACATGTCCGTTTTTGTCGTCTAGCTGTTAATAAGGACCATACAACTCTAACATTTGGTGGATGGCAGATGGCGGTGTTAAGACACAAATACTATGTTAATATAGGTGTTCCTATTCGTACATTGGCAAAAGCTGGCAGTCAGCAGGGTTTGCGATATGGAGGGACGGTATAACGAGGTTTGACTGCACCTTACCAGTTATCTAATTGCAAAAATATCTTTTCACGAGATGATTTATGTCAACCAATAGATAATCCCTCTCTTTTTTTTTTATCAGTTTCGAAATGGGCATATTCATTATTTCTAAGGGGGCTCTCGTGGCCTAGAGGTTAAGGTGTTGGCCTCTCATTCAAAGGTCCCGGGTTCGATTCCGGGTAGCGACCAAAACATTTTCTTCTCTAAAATTGTCTCCTTTCACATCCTTTCCTGATCTCTAGCAATGTTCTGTTGTCTGCTTTCATTTCCACTTTCTGCCCCCACCCCCTCACCTCCTTTGCCCCCTCCTCTGGGCTCCTGACTCTTTCTGCAGCCTTTCTACTGCTACTCCTTGGCTCCTCCTAACTGCTGTCTTTCTGCCACACCCCTGATCTTCTGGTAGGAAAGATCTACACCTAGCCTTCTCGGACAAGGGCGAAAAATCTCGGAGGGCCCGTGTGCAAGTTGCGCACGTTAAAGATCCCTTGGTGGTCTAAAATCGATAAGAGTAGGCTTCAGCCGCCACCCGGGCAAAATTCAAAATTTCCTACCAACGAAAATGTATTAGGTGTGTCCCGCGCGCTCATATGACCTTATGCAGTTGCGAGCGCCGTAAAACCCTATACTAAACAAACAAACAAAAAAACAATTATTTCTAAATGAATGAAAAACGCTTTCCTTTGTACTGAAGAACATTTGCTATCTGGGCTTTTGACATTGTTACAACCGGCTGACGTTACATGCAATGTAATATAGCCTATACATGAATACACACTATATTATATATACGGCGGCGTAATTAGTTACAAAGATAGAGAAGAACAAAAAACGGGACCGTAGGCATAGTGCGACGGATGCATGATTTCGAGTCTTCTGAGTTCGACCTATCTGTGTTATACTGTATTTGTATTATCTTAAAACCTGCTCATTTGTTTTGCTTTCAATAAAAAAAAGTTGCCTATCGTCATTAGAAGTCGAGATATTTCAGATTGAAGGAAGTGAGAATCACTTGGTTTCAGAAGTACAATTGGCTAGAAAATGGCCGCCAAAGTTTTGTGACTTCTAAAGCTTGAGAGTCCTTGAAAACTGTAAATTTACATTTTTTTTGTAACAGCGATTGTCAGTAAGATCCACACAGCCATGTATTTTTTAATGGACATAACAGATGTAAAGCCAAATAAATTAAAATTCGAAAAAAGTTGCCAAACAGGAAGAACAATTCCAGTTTCTTCGATTTCATTACTTTGACGAGCGCCTGATTTCACTACAATGCCTCTCAATTTATAATGTTTATTTATATATGTGACAGTTGCATGCAATATGCTTTATATATACCCAGCAGCAATAGAAACTTTCCATATCACTCACTATGCACCCAACGATGACTCCGCGCTGATCTTTTTGATGAACAAAAATCAAACCTCGTGGTCACGTGACCCAGTGCAATTTAACAAGTTTTTGGACTTAAGTTTGGCCGAAATTATGAAATCGTCTAAATTGTGTCTGGGAGTGGAACGTTGCAGATACAAACACGTCACAGTCTTTTTTTTCCCCCCCCCAGCAACTGATCATTATTACAATAATAAGATAGTCTTTACGAAAATCTACGTAATTAATTTTGCGCTGGTCTATGAAATCAAAAGTTGCCGTATGCTAGGCTAGGCTCTACACAGCAACTTTTTGGTAAACAATCGAGAACCCCCAGTGGGTCGGGGGTATATAAATAGACCCACTGCTTCGTCTGCAGAAGGTGCAACCCCCTCAAAGGCGAAGTGTCGCACACGGACGCCAACCCTCTGGGATCTGTGTGCAACACTTACTTTGGTGTATCTTCCTCTTCTCGCTGAGCGGTCTCCAGTGTGGATTCAGGAAAACTCGATCCACTCTGGATCACCTGGTCCGCCTGGAGACCTTTATACGCGAGACGTTCGCTGAGAGAGGCCACATGATCGCCATCTTTTTTGACCTAGAAAAAGCCTTCGACACAACCTGGAAGTACGGCATTCTTCGAGACCTGCACGCACTCGGCATACACGGTCACCTCCCTGCCTTCATTGGCAACTTCCTGAAGAACCGTTCCTTCCAGGTTCGTGTCAGATCCTCCCTTTCAGACCCCCACCAACAGGAGGAAGGAGTCCCCCAGGGGAGCATCCTTTCTCCTCTCCTATTTGAAATTAAAATAAACTCCATAGTGAAAACCCTCCAAAACAGCATAGACAGCTCGTTATACGTTGACGACTTTTTGATATGCTGCCGTTCGAAAAATCCTCATTTGAGATCTATGGAAAGGCAGCTGCAAACGCAGCTGCACAAACTCGAAACGTGGGCAAACAATAACCGTTTCAAGTTCTCCCCGTCAAAGACGGTTGCAGTACACTTCTGCCGAACAGGCAGACGTGTGCTGCAGCCGGATTTGACACTATACGGGGAAAGGATTCCCGTCCAGGACCAAGCTCGTTTCTTCTGCGTCATTTTCGACAAAAAACTCCCATTCATACCACACATCAAATACCTTCGTGTGAGGTGCCAGAAAGCGTTAAACGCTTTGAAAATTCTATCGAATCTGGAGTGGGGCGGGGACTCAAAACACCTTCTCCACTAGTACATCTCCCTTGTCCGGTCCAGGCTTGACTACGGCTGTCAAGTCTACGGATCGGCAAAACCACACGTCTTAAAAATACTAGATCCAATACAAAACCAAGGACTCCGCCTCACTCTGGGGGCTTTCCGCACTTCTCCAGGCCGAGGCCAACATACCACCACTCTCACTCAGACGCACACCTCCAGTCTGTGGGAGAGCCACTGGGAAAAGCAGAAAAATAATAAACTATATGAAATAAAACCCAAACTAGAACAGCGAAATCCTTTGGACCTCTCCAGAAGAGACAAAGTCATTTTTACTCGATTGCGCATCGGACACACGGCCCTGACCCACAAATACCTCCTACAGGGAGATGAGAAGCCGTTCTGTGTCGGATGCGACACAGATTTTACCATTAGACACATCTTAACCGAATGTCTAGACTTTGGAGAGATCCGAAGGAAATATTATAAATGCAAGAAATTGCAAGATATTTTTTCCGTCGTTGTTCCCAGCAGAATTTTGAATTTTATAAAGGCCATTGGCCGTTATGGCAAGTTGTAAAATTAAAAATGAAAACGTACTATTTAAAATTTTTATTGTTACCTATAAGAGTTGTTTTAAATCACAAATATATTTACACTGATTTTTAATATTTTAACATTTTAGCATTTTAAAGTCAATTAACCAATCGTGCTGTAAACTTTTACGAAAGTAAACAACTTGTGTTTCGCGCGCTCATATGACCTTAGCAGTTGCGAGCGCCGTAAAACCCTATACTACAGTAACAGTGCCTGTGGTTTCAGTCTGTTCAGCACTGTCTTCAACACTATTACATATCTTACTGGGGTGGCTTATTAGACTGATGGTGCGGTAATTCTGACATAGTTGCAGGATACCTTTCTGGGGGAGTGGAGTCACTAGTGATTCTGTCCATGGTGTTGGCCATTTTCCTGTCTGCCAGATCTTGTTGCAGATGACAGTCAGAGCGCTTATCATGTCCTTTCCCCCTTCCTGTATTAATTCTCCATGGATGTTTTCCACTCCTGCTGATTTCCCCTTCTTCAGTGCTTTAACTGCTGCTTCAACTTCTTCTCGAAGTATTGGGGGGTTATTGATGTTGGTTGCTGGGGGAACGTTTAGTACCTCAGGATTTCCCGTGGCTTTGTAGTTGTACAATTCTGAGCAGTATTCTGTCCATCAATTCAAAATGTCTTGTTCCTCTGTCAGGCATTTTCCTTGTTTATCTTGAATAGTTGTGGTGCGCCCTTGTTTAGTGCATGTCAGGTCCTTTACTATTTGGTATGCTTTTTTGCTGTTGCTCGTATTCAGGCTGCCTTCAATTATTTGGCATTGTTCCTCGATCCCTTTTCATACTTTAAAAAAATAATTAGCTGACTGCTCTGTGCTCCTTTACACCATCTGGTTGTTTCTTTTTCTTCTTTAGTTTTCTCATTTTGTCACACAGGTTAAGGATGTCAGTTGTGACTCAGAGATTATTGACTCGTCTGTGTTTTCCGAGGATCTGACTGGCTGTGTCAGTCACTGCTGTATTGAAGGTGTTGATCCACGTGTCCATGTCTGGGTCTTTGTTGTTACCAGCATCAATGACAGTGAGTGGTGCACACTTTCCTCCTATCATCGCTTGGAAGGCTTCTGCTACTTCTGGGTCCTTTAGTTTTTCGAGATCAAACTTCATCCTTGTGTATCCTTGCTTTTTAACCTTCTTCAGGTGGTCTTCATCATAAGGTAGTGGTCGC